CGGTACCAGGTCGATATAACAAGCTAGTTGAAACATTAGAAATTTGTGGATGGGTTCAACAGGTCCGAAAACCAACCAGGGGGAATAATACACTTGATTTAATGTTCACAATCAACATAGACTCTATCTCAGTACATACCAGTCATGAGTTTTTTATGAGTGACCATAGAGTTGTATTGGTATTATTCACTCTTTAAACGCCATACAATTGAACTCTAAAGCTTCATTGATGTACCAAAGCAGACATTTTGATCAACAAACATGGAAACGGACTGGAACTCTCATTCAATGTTTACCATGGGAAACTTATTTTACCACAAATAATGTTGACATTGCGCTTTCCAATCTATACCACAACCTGATATATTGTCTTGACTGCACTGCTCCAGTTATTGGCCGTGTGGCTTATAATGCTAATAGGGGCCAAAATACTTTTAAAAGAAAGCTGAGGAAATTAAAATGCCGCTACTACGAGCAGAATGATGTGTATGCACTTCAGAGTATACTTAAATTAATCAACAGAAATGCTTCATCTAAACGTAAGTATTTTATGAATATAGAAAATAAAGCTCTACGTAGTAAAAGCCCAGAATTATCAATACTTCGGCTTTTTAAATCCCGTGTAAAGTCAAATTCCCTTGGCACGACTAAATTCTTCATAGTTAACGGAAGCATTGTTAACGACCCGAATACTATATGCGAACAATTCAGCAAGCACTTCTCGCAGTGCTACAAAACTGGAACTGAAAACTCCATCATTACATTTCCAATGCTGACATCCAGACATCTGTCGAAAATTGATTTTACACCCTCCAACATCAAGCAGGCCATAGCTGCCCTGAAAAAGTCTTATGATGGTGGACCTGACGGGATACCTTCATCATTTGTGAAATATGGAAGTAGAGAATTTCCACTATTTTGTTTGAAACTTTTCAATCTATCTATGGAATATGGGACCTATCCATCTGTATGGAAAACATCCCTTATCACCCCTAGATTCAAAACAGGACCACGTAGTGATATTATTAACTATAGGCCAATTAATTTGACATCCGTGCTCTCAAGAACCATGGAAAAAATCATCCACAAACAGCTACTATCATTTTTACTTTCGGCTAGTCTGATCAGCCCATCCCAACACGGGTTTATGACTAAACGCTCATGTTTTGATCAAATTACCCAGATAAGAGATGTTGGTCAGTCAGTGATAATTCTTTACTTCGATTTTAGTAAGGCTTTCGACAGTGTCTCACACAAACTTCTTTTAAAACTCTCTTCATTTGGCATACAGAATCCCCTTTTATCTTGGCTCAAATCTTTTTTAGAAGAACGTAGCCAAATCGTTCGCTTTGGATCTTGCTACTCTAAACCTATGAATGTAACCAGTAAGGTTACGCAAGGAAGTGTGATGGGTCCATTACTCTTTCTCCTTTTTATCAATGACGTGTGTTCCCTCTTTCAGTATGGTAAACCTTTCCTTTTTGCTGATGACTTGAAAGCAGTTTATTCATTCTCTTTTCCCACGAAAGAAAGCTATATTTCAGCGGTAATCCAAGAGGAAATAAACAAGTTATACGAATGGACTGTTTCATGGAATTTTGCATTTATTCACATTGGCCGCTGTCTTAACTTAAATCTCACTATTCACAAACATATGCTCAAACCTCTCAACACTGTTCGTGACTTGGGTTTAAGATATAGCAACAATCTGAACTTTTCTCAGCACATTATATCTCAAGTATCCCAAGCTAGAAAGCTCATCGGATTGATAATGATAAACTTCAATAATACTGAATCAAGATTGCCCAAACAACCAAGAAAGGAGAAATAAAGGCGAACAAAGGGGAAATAAAGGGGGAAATGCATTGGAAGAGAAAGGGGAAATAAAGGGATAAACACGCCAGAATGTCACCTTTTCCGCCTGTCCGGGGGAAATAATGCGAATTTCCCCTTTTTGCCGTTTTGTCGATAAATTACCGACTTTTCGCCTAAATTACCGCCGAATTGCATACTTTTCTCCTGAATAATCGCCGAATTGTCTGCTTTGCGCCTAAAGATACGCTTAATTGTCCACTTTTCACCTAAATACACACAGAACTCCATATTTTCGATGCATTGGCATAACCCCAAAAGTCTCCTATGTTCGCCTTTATTTTCAGCAACAGACCAAAATAAAATTGCAATCCACGGGAAAACCGTTATATTTTTATAAATTTTTATTTAAAAGGATAAGCATACTATTGTACAACATTAGAGGATAAACTTCAGCATAGATTGTTTTGCATTTCCATAGCAATTGCTAATTCATTGTTATTTGAAAAATATCTGCAAAAGAAGGAAGAGATGGTGTATTATTTATAAGGCATGTGTATTTAATCGCTAGTTCACTGACAATCAAACACACTTTCTCAACAATCCAATAGATTCGCATGTAAGTAGAAAAGCAAGCTGTTTTACCAAAAAATGTTTATTAAAAATTAAGTAGAACATAAAAAGATCGTACGGACTTTTGCTTTCAGCCACGTATGTTCGGCTATTGAGAATTGAAATAGTCGTCCTATGAATTCTGAAGTTTAAAAAACGAAACAAGTCACAACGACATCTGAGTGACATGCTTTGGTACAGCCAAATAATTTAGGCTGAACTTACGGTTATGTTCGTTAATACTGTAGGTTGTAACTATAGAGTCATAGGGAAGTTATCACCTTAAATTAGTACATACCTGATCTTGTTTCCTTCTATTACGCTTTATCATTTTGTCTCGGATATCGTGTCGCGATGTCGTACATCTTAGCAAGGTCTTTTTCGTTGACACCGGATGACAGAAAGCGATTTGTCAAGGCACCTGAAGTTTAAATAATAAATATGAGTTACTACGTATGCAGCCATAAAACCGGCATTTCTGAAGTGCTCGTTTTGGAGAGGTTCCAAGTAACGTGAATTTACTGGCAACCTCAGGTGTCAAGAGGTGCGACAGAACATACTGCATTAATATTTTAGGATCATCCATTAACCTCGTTACCATTGCCATCTGTAATACGAACAAATTATTAAATTAATGTTGATGACTTAAAAACCGGTCCCTGATTTCTTTCTGCTGCAAACCAGTGTCCAGCATCTAAAGTTCGTTTTCAGATGACAAAGGGAACTGCTGACTCGAGATTCCGCAATCGAGTTGGTGCGGTTGTTCTCGTTCATTGGACTTAACTAGTAATTGCTTGACATTAATACTTAAGTCCGTAATGGCTGTGGACATTTTCTGCAGTATTTGACTAAAGTCAGCCATAGTTGACGAATCGTTCTGCACCACTGTATGCAACCTGTCGAACCTGAAAAAGTTCGCTTGGTGATGCAGGTGACTTACTGGTCTGCTACAGCACCACTGAGATGCTTAGATTCCGATGTTGACGGTGATGTCTCTAATTGCGTGAACATCTAAATAGTAATGAAAGTTACTTGGCAATTGGCAAGACGAATTTGTCAAACAAACGGAATTTCAGATATTGAACATGGCTATTGCCAGCCTGCATCTCAGCCTTGTCAATGTCAACTGAATTGTAAAGAAATTCTACTTTACCCTTCATTGCACCTCTAGGAAATGTTAGTAAGATTATTGTACAGACCTCTTGAGCTTTTCTGTTTTCTGTGGCAATGTGTTTTCATCGGTAGAAGTGTTTTTACGGCGAGATTCTAGTAGATCTAATAGATCTTTCGCAGACTGCAAAGAATCCATAGTGAATTACAGTTTCTATGTTTGTTACCTAATTCGTAAATTACATTACATTTCATAACTGACCAGCTGTTATCTGGTTTATCGCAGTTTCGCAGGTGTGTGTCGACCGGCTCCGTTGGAAGAAGGCAAAGTTCCTTGCCTACTATCCACTCCTTGGATGCTATCATAAGTTGTTTCTTGCTGAGGACGTCAACAATGACGTATCGCTTGTTAGTAGGCTAAAAATAAAACAAGACGTAGTTAAATTGTTTATCGTCATTAATTCAACACTAATGAAACAAAATGCATTTACATTAAAGTATGCAACAATGGGATTATAACTAGATTATTGATACAATTGATGGCTATACATTTACGATCAATGTCCTTAAGCGATATCCATGTGTCTTCATGGCTAACTACGGAGCACATAAAGATTCCTATATCACTAGGTGGGAAAGGATCTTCAAAGTAATTACGTGGGTCAGTGAAAGATCTGAATTTAGTAGTCCGTCCTCCTTTATATCAGTGACTAAACCAGGCTGTCCGTCTACTACTACTACTACTACTACTACTACTACTACTACATTATCTGGCTTAAATGAAGTTATATTACTATTCTTAAACATAATTACTTGTTTATTGGAGACATCTTGAGCGCCTATTGGGGTAGTATTTGTTAAACAGCTAAGTTGAAGCCTATCGCAGAAGGAAATTTTTTCAGCATAACGCTGAACTGCTTGCCTAGCTACTGCAAACCCACTATGCACAGAATCCTTAACTTGTCTCATATAAGACTCGAAAGGAAAGGTTGAAAAACTATCCAAAGGTCCATGTGCATGAACGTCGTCAGGGAGGTGCTGTAATAAACGCGCATTGTACACCAAGTTTCAGACCCATAACACCATTCGTATTCCTTGAGGAAGTTTTGTAAATCTTTTCTGGCGGATTCTACAACAGTATTATGTAATTTAGGATGTACAAGCAGGTAATCGATTACTATTTTCAAATTGCTTAGTGATAAATTTGCACCTGATACGCCCTCATTTTTCTTGTCTTCCAAAATAGAGGATTTCTAAGAATACTCCAGAAAATTCACAAGCTCAGGACAAATTACTTGTCAGCACACCACCGACTTCCCATCGAATCAGCAACGAGTGTAATTCATTACCTCAGCATGTGGTTGAGGCTCCATCCGTCGACTCTTGCAAAATAAATTAAGAAACCGTTATTACCAGGGCTAACACAAGCCATCAAGCCTCCTGTCCTTTCCAAACAGAAACTGAAACTTGATGGGTTTTGGATGGTCACCTTACTTTCAGCGGGTTTTCTAATAGTCTAGGTCGTTTACAGTTTCTGGCGCTACCTGGGATACAATGACAGGGATTAGGAGTATGTTGCTTTACAACCGATATCATTACTCGAAACTTTAAAGCCGTAATTTTTGTTTCGCTTGCTGGATCAGTTTCATTCACATTCTTACTGTTAGCCTGTGCGTTACCACAGTACAAGTAACAGAATTACTTAGGAGTTTAATCGTGTTTAGTGTTTGGTGGCCACTATTCATGCTGATATTTTACATACTAGCACCAATTCCATTGCTGGTCGCTAAAAATTTCCAGGAAAGCTCCTCATTGGGGGATGTGAGTGTTTTCCTGACCACAATAGTAATAGTATCCGCATATGCACTGCCTATACTGTTTGCTCGAGCACCTAAAGAAAATCCCCTCGTAAGTTTTAAAGCGAAAATTTATCTGCTTCTTGTAGATATTATGGGGTGCTTGTGGACTTACGTTATCAGCCAATACGCTTATGTTTGCAACCATCTTCTTTCTGGTTTATCTGGTGGTCAAGTCTGATGATTTCGACAGTGGATTTTAATTTCGAATAGTAAATCTCTCCCTAATTTTGACTGAATTTTAATGTAGTACTTGTGTATTCTAAGGAAGCACTTGTTGCTAAATTCGCGTCATATAAGATGTTATTTTGCTTTCTACTTATGTATATTTTTCATTTTAATAAATCCCCAAAAAGATAAACTTTTCTGTTTAAGGACATTTTAGAAAGTTATCTCCCGAAGGCAACATACTTTCTCTGTCTCATTTTGACTTCTGGCTTTGATTTATATATGCGATGAGACGTTGATAAACTAATAATTTTAATCTTTGGAGTCATTCTGAATTCTGTTGAATCGAGAGATCCTAACTAAACAGAACAGTCGTTTGTATAGAGGCACCGCTATCTTATACTAGTCTGAGCTTGTACATGGGGCTTTCCATGAATTTCTTCTGCTGCGATCAGTTTTGTTATGCAGTTAGGTAGATGTTTCTAAGTTTGATTTCGCTCCCACTGTGTTACAAAACTGTGAGGTGTTAGATATATTTTTAGAGAAATTCAGCTCAGATAACTCGAAGGTTTCTCACGTGGTTGCTGTGTAATGTTTAGCTCTGATGTAATAAGGCTGTTGCGATGAATTATGTCATCTGAAGATATGCAGATTATCCCAACCAATTTTATCGAATATACACAGTTCTTTCAAGTAGTTTACGTTTGCAGGATGCAGTGATTTTACATACTGTATTTCCGTCAAACACGTAAAATACCTAAAGCATGTTAAACTTTACACAGGTGAAACTATGTCATACATTTTATTAAGGTGGTATATGTGTATTGTTAACGGAGTAGCTTATATATAGAAGCTTGTATTTTCCTATCAAACAAGTATAAAACTAGCGTAGTGCCATATACCATGTCTAGAGAATGAAGGTTAACAGCTCTGCTTATCCGCCCAAGTTGTTGCTGGTGGATCAGCGCCGGAATCTGTGGTCAAGCATTCAAATAGCTCATCCACTCCTTGAGTTTATCTTTCGTTTAAAAAGATATATGTGAAGTAGCTCCAAGCTTTCGTGCAAGAGGGATTCTAGTTTTGAAATTCCGAATGAGTTTCTAGGGTTTTCGTCTCACAATTACATTTATCAGTTGATTGGTTAGCTTTGGTACACCAGAAGGTTTATGAGCTAGGCTTTCTGGAAACAGAAGTATTCCCTTTGATCTTGGAAGCAATAGCGTTAATGGAAAACTTATTGATCGTCTTAATTTTACTCATCTGAACTGTATTTCCGCCTTATGATTAAAATCTATCAGTGCCTAAAAAACTATGGTGAAACTGATGGTATTTATATCAGAAAACAAGTAAACTAAAGTGCAAAACTTAGTCCATGATGAAACAATAACTGAACACTACACACCATAGGTTTTACTCAATGAACTCGAAAATCCATACTGTATGCAACTGAGAAACCTCTGCATCCATAAACCACCAAGTTCCGCTTTGGATTAGTTTTCTGAAATATCTGGTAATAATCCGAGCGGAATTAGCTAAAGCTTTATGGATAGAGCTACTAATTTACCGTCCCTATGTATCCATGTAAGGTGAGACTTGAAAACGAAATATAGAAATTGTGTAAGTAGTTCCTGACAGGAAATAATGTAATCCGACACCAACATTTCAGCCTATTTACTGGTTGGGGATGTTTGCTGACAATAGGAAACAACCAGTCATAGTGGAGTTCACTTTTTAATTTTTCTATCAACCACGAGTTTCGTGTTATCCATACTTGTCATTTCCCTATCCTATTTATTATCTGCAAACTATAGTCCTTATATTTAGATCTCCACTTCACTTGAAACTAACTCCTCTCTATTAATTTCTATCTAGTTAGTTTAGGTTTGCTGATATGAGGTGAGCTGACTTAAACCAAAACATATTACTATTTCTGATGTTGTCTGTGACCGGCTGTTTCACTGGAGCATTCTTTCTAATCACTGTTCATATATTAAGTCATTGAGTTCAAAGTAGAAAGGTCTAAACTTAGACAGATACAAACAAATCTAGGTTATTTGTGGAAGTTAGTGTTTCTTATCATATCCCTCTGATTGATGCTGTACACAGTCCTATGTAGTTTTGGTGGTGGTTGTGCAACAACATTGGAAAAGCTTTGTAGAATTGTATTTAACAATGATAAACTATAGTTATTTCATACTTTCCCATTGTTAGCAAGTGTAAGTATCCCTCAGATATTATAAATGATGTTTTGTTAATGGACTTTTTGACAAAAGCTTGTTCGAATTGTAAAAATACACACATTGATTTCACTCATACTTGATATTTAGTTAACAAGTATGAAATCTAAAGAAGAATAAACGGAATTATTGCGAAAAGCCGAGTTGCATGTCTTACTGAACTAAGTTCACATTAAGTTGGTACGGTGAAAGTATAATATAAAGAAGGGTACATCAAAATCGAAGTGAATTTCAGGCATTTTGGGCAAAATTCAAAATAAACGACGTCTTATATCACATATACTGAATGAGCAGCAAAAACCTTTCGATAGTACTGAGAATGTTTAAATCCAAAAGTGAGGATTATTTTTTAAGATCATAGAGTAAAGGTGTTAGTGTTAAAATCATAAAATGATCAATTACTTTCTTTATGGATTGTATATAAAAGGGGAATCAACACTACGTTTAAATCTTAAACTTAGGTCTTAAAAAAGGAATTAACGGCGTTATGCTTTATAAACGGACTATTCAGACATAAGATAACGTTTGGGTTTTTGCACAAAATTCATTCATCGTACAGATACAGAGCATTTTTGTATCTTAGATGATATAATTTTGTAAAACCATATTACGTTGGTTTTTGACTGGTCATTTAGCATCATACCTTCTAACATTTAAAAATAATGAAAACTGGCCAGCCACACATATCATTGAGCTTATTGCTTTACTAACCCAGTTAGATATTCAAAATTTTATTTAATATACAAAATATAACACAACTAGGCACAAAAGCGCAAGTCCTACATCAAATACAGGAATATTGTCGTGAAGATATGGGGGGGGGTAGATACAATGAAAATACAGGTGAACAAATATGGTTTAATTAAGAAAAATACAACCAAGAAAGAATCTTTTCTAGTTAAATGAGTTTCTCTGTTGTGAAGAATATAGGAGAAACAAATAGCTTCATTAATGGCTTTTATGCTAAGTCATATCCGGTAGAGTTTAAAGACACTGGATTGTGCTAACTCTAAGGTCCCAATAAGAGGTTTGTGTTAGAACTACAGAAACCAATCCTGTACAGCTTTTTTTTCCGTACAACATTACTTTGTCTTAGATTGACTACCGGTGTAGAAAGCCCGATGATTTCAAGGCATAAATCCATATCACGAGTAAATCATTATTGTAATACAGATCAGTTGTGCTTAACCACTTTGATATACTAGCTTGAACACTAGGAAAGAACATTCACATCTCACTGACTACTTAAAATTTAATCAGCTTAGAGGGTGGGATAGGTTTATTATTTATTCTTGATTGAATCTTGGTAGATTCCCATATGTAAGAAGATGAAGTCTACAAATATATGTTCGCGTTTCAGTTTGTCATCTTTTTAAAACTTGGAAACAGCTGTATATAGTTCTAATCAAACTAAGCCTCAATATAAAATTAAACCGGAAGCAAAATCAATAGACATCAGTTTTTTATTCACTTAAAGATGGTTATGAAATAGGGGTCTAGTTGTTTTCTGCAAATTAACCAAAAAACTAAAGTTACAGTCTGTATTGTTATCATTAATCTTTAGACTGTTTTTATTTGATTTATAAAATTGCTTACGACATAAATAGTCCTATTTAATACCACTTTCAATAATTTGTTGATATGTAATATTTAAGTTTATTGATTCATAGATACAAAATTATGTACTCACTAAAACTGTAAAGACTTTTTATAAATGAATTATTGTTATATGAACTGTATGTTTTGTCATCTTTAGACTATATTAATTTAATTCATTTTATGTGTTTAAATTTTTGTTCTCTATTAAATATTGATAATTGTAATTTGTTTGATCACATGTTTCCTAATGTATAAATTATTCATATTTCACTAATATTTTGTAAAATAGGTGAATAGAATTATATTCATTGTAATATTGATTTTTATTTTACTCACTTAAAAAAATTTAACCGCCAAATTATTAAATGATTTATTTCAAACAACAAATATTAACAAATCCTGTTGATATATGGATATAGATAATCAGTCAGTCAGCTACAACGTAGGACCAGGCACATATGTGCATCAGTCCAGGTTGCCATACCGCATCAGCACAACAAGATGAACACCGGATTCATAGCAGTGGTTAGGTCAAAGGTGGTAATATATAAGAGAACGATTGCATATAGAAATATAGTACAAGAAGAAAGAATTGGTTCGTAAAATGAAAGATATGAAGTGATTTTAATCTCTTAGTTTAAGGGAAGACAAAGAGTGTATACACCGACGCCATTGTGATCGATTCTGAGCCATGTCACCAAGAGTCTCCAACCATTGGTTACGACAGTCACGCGGACCCCAACCAAGTAGTCTGCATCTACCAACATGGCTTAGACTAGAGGTTAGTGTCTTCAAGCACTGATGCCACGTTTTGGTTTGGCCGCCCCTAACTTTCTTCCAACTATGTCCAATACCGGATAGCATTGCACGTCGTGGTAATCGGTGTTCAGGCATACGTAACACGTGGCCCAACCATCTCAGTCGATGAAGATTCATAACCTCATCAACTGATTTACCATCATTTCCTAATACCCTGCGTCTAACCTCACTATTACTTACAGATGTAGATAATGAGTTGATTCAGTGTGTATAGGTAGTCTATTGGTTGTGAAAGTTTGTTTTCAACTAGTAAATCGTAGATTCGATCTTATCCCACCTAGTTGGTTGTATTACTAAGTATAAGTTAAAGCTGAGTACAGAGATTTGTACTCGTTATTTTCCAAGAAAGTGTGATATACTAATGAGGATTTTCTAAATTACAGGTCAACTCGAGAATATATCGTAAACTATAGTTTATTATTTACTTCTGAAGTTATTTATCTACCTGTTTTTTCTGTATTTGATGTTTTTGGAGATGAGTTTACTTAAGTTGTATTATAAGATAATAAATCATTTACAGAAAGGTGATTATTTAGTGTTTGGATGAATGTTTTCCAAATAGAAGTAGTTTGAAACAGTTGTTGATGACATAGAATATGGTCACAAATTTATTTCCATTTTGCCATTTGGTAAATATTGAAACGTTCTGAACAAACATTTGCGTTAAAGGTTCTCAACGAGTATTCGAAGTATAGCACAAGGCTCAGTGAGGCGGTGAAAAATGCTCAATTTGTTCCTTCTTTATTGAACAAGTTTATTTGTTCATTCATTTTAATAAGAATGAAGTACAAAAAGATTGAGTTCATTATGCATCCAAATTAGTTGAGAAACGGTTAAAAATTAAGAAATATTGGTGGACTTGTGGTTTTAGGATTGTTTAATAGTGTTGAAAGATAATATACGACTCATATAAATGCACTTCTGTCTTTAGATCATTTCATAATATTATGTGAATTATTTATATTTTGTAGGCATAAAAGATTTAAATCTGTATTCTGTGCATATTGTATCGTTTCCACATAAGAAGTTGTTGCTGGTATAAACCTACATATTGTACTTGTGAACTTTTATATGGGCTATGTACCAATAGTTGCAATATTCCAGTCTTAGTAGTGAAATCATTCGTTTTTTAAAGAAGCACATATTTCAGTTTAATTGGAATAGTTTAGTTTAGAACGATACATAAGAATGCAACAATTCAGCTGTGATAATGACACTGACTTTAACAAGTGTCAAGTATTTAAGGTCATTGTATAGTTCTTGATTGTAACAGGATTTTAAAATAATAGTTTGACAGATACGGCATGTAATTATGAAAATAGGAGCATACGAGAATTCATAGCTAGAAGAAATAATATAATATAAATAAATATGTCACAGATAGGAACAATTAACAATGAAATATTTAAACTATGCAACGATTAACCTAGTCATTTGACAAATCTGTCACATCAAATGGCTTTCGTAGTGTATTTTCAGTAGGCTTCTAAGTATTTTGAGTCCTGAAAAGGGTTCAGTACTTAATCATCTGCTTGACTAGTTTTCACTTGATCTACATATCCCATATGGTCTGAATGTTCATCCACATTTAAAATCTCCAATATTTGCCTTCCTGTTTTCCAATAATGATTTTTGTGGACGTTTGTTAATTGTTTTTCCGATGATGTAGTACGTTGTAAGCCCCGACCGAAGCTGCTACCTTAACGCAATGGTCGGGCTTGCCTATCGTGATGACCCAACCGAGCTATATTGGCTGGAACATATGTTCCTGTAGGTTCTACCATGCCAGGCAGGTCGATTGGAGAACGGTAAGACTAAAAGCAGCAACTCAAGGTCTGAGGGCGAAGTCGTACTGCTGACTGTAGAGGGTGTGACAGCAGTAAGGTGTTTCCCTCGGACAACCAGCATGACAGCGATGCTGCCTTCCCACAAGGAGGGGTGGGGTTAGAAAAGGTCGACCCTAAAAATGTCACACCTCACCTTACCTCACGGATTTCCGTCTCCGGCGGTAAGGCCCTTTGAAGAACGGAGCTAACACGTCAAAAACCTTCCACAAAAAGGCCGTGCGCGACCGGCCTCAAGCAGTTGTCCCTTGGGCTCTGCGGTCACGCTCCCAGGTCGTCAAGACCAACACTAATCCAATTTCCTTTTCAGGTTCCTCAAGAAATACCCTTCCACGGTGTGGGCAGCCGGGAAGTGACATCAGCCCTCATACCCGTAACAGCACAAGAGACCAAGGTGGTCACATTCAAATCCTTCCTACACCTCCTAATACCTCTCTTATCTCCATGACTAACCCTCCTCACGTCTCTTTATCACCTCGCACCGCTAGGGCAAACGATTCGAGTACGTGGAACGCCATTCCTGGTCTCCTGAAACCACGCTCTAAACTACACGTAGGAGCTTTTAACGTACGAACACTTTGCCAAATAGGACAGCAGGCTTCCTTAGCTAAAACTTTAGAATCTCGCGCCATCGATGTGTGCTGCGTCTCCGAAACGCGCATACAGGATCCGAGTAGCGTCATTCATTTGACCTCACCATGCCAAAATAAAGAACCGACTCGATTTACGCTTCGTGTATCTGGAAGCCCTGATTCTGCTTCCCGTGGCCTCGCCGGCGTAGGTATAGCATTGAGTCCTAGGGCAGAACTAGCTCTCTTAGAGTGGATCCCAGTAGACAGTCGTTTGTGCGCTGTCCGACTGAACGGAACAGTAAGAATCCGGAAAGATAGGGACACTCGTCGTTGCCTCTTCGTCGTCTCTGCCTATTCTCCCACTGACTGCAGCTCAGATGATGTAAAAGATGAGTTTTACAGAAAGCTTTCGGACCTTCTCCGAAAAGCTAGGCGCTCGGATGTAGTAATAGTGGCCGGTGACTTTAATGCTCAAGTAGGTAAACTAAGCGATAGGGAAAGACACCTAGGTGGATCTTATGGTGTCGTGGCTCAAAGAACAGATAATGGCGACCGTCTGTTGCAGCTATGCTCAGATAACCGCCTGTTCCTTGCAAATACTAACTTTAAGCATAAGGAAAAACATCTTTTAACATGGCGACCCCCTAATTCGTCCCAACGTTGGACCCAAATAGATCACATCGCTATCAGCCACCGATGGAGGGGCTCGATAGAAGACTGTCGCTCATTCTGGAGCACATGCCTAGATTCAGATCATGCTCTAGTGCGAGCGCGTATTTGCTTGCGTCTTACTGGACGTAGGAAAGACGCTGCAAGGAAACCTCTTAGGGCCTACTTAATGATAGTCAAGCTAAGAGTATATTTCAGGAACAACTAGGAAAACAGTTAGGCAGCCATGTATGTGATGCCCACCCCGATGCAGCATGGAATGATATCCGAAAAGCTGTGGAAACAGCAGTGATATCTGCTAGTAAGGTAAACCAGAAGGTTAGGGAGCAACACTGGATCTCAGCAGCATCTATCGCACTGATAGATGCTCGGAAACTCATTCCACCTGGCTCTGAACATAATGAAGAGCGGAGTCAGCTTAAGCGCAAGCTGACAAGAAGTCTACGCAATGATCGCGAACAGTGGTGGGTAGCGAAAGCAAGAGAGATGGAAAAGGCAGCGGCAATAGGTAATAGCAGACAATTGTTCAGACTCGTTAAGGAAACCGGAATTAGGAACCGACCGTTAGCGAAACAATCTCAGAGAAAGATGGACATATTATTCATTCTCAATCCAGGAGATTGGATCGATGGGCAGAACACTTTAGGGATCAGTTCAACTGGCCTTCAGCCACACTTCGGTTTCCCACGATCTCCAGTCAACCTGAATGGCAAGTTAATGTAGGTCCTCCGTCCTTTACGAAGTTGAAAAAGCCATAGGAAATCTGAAACGAGGGAGAGCAGCAGGCCCTGACAGGTTTACTCCTGAGATTTTTAAGGATGGTGGTCCAGTATTAGCAATGAGATTAACTGAGGTCTTAGGTAGAATTTGGGAACTGGACGTAATCCCATCTGACTGGTCTCAATCACTGATTGTGCCAGTCTATAAGAAAGGACAAAAGTCCTCTTGTGACAATCACAGAGGAATCAGTTTGACTAATATAGTGTCTAAAATATTAGCTTCAATAATACTTCGACGCCTAACTAAAGCTCGTGAAGAGCAGACTAGAGAAAACCAGGCTGGTTTTCGACCTGGACGTGGTTGTATAGATCAGATATTCACACTACGTCAGGTTCTAGAACACAGACACACATTCAGACGCCCCACAATGGTAGTATTTCTCGACCTTAAGGCGGCATTCGACTCTGTTGATCGTGAGGTTCTATGGCAGTGTTTGTCACTGAAAGGAGTACCAAAGAAGTACATTAACCTTATAAAGGCTCTCTACTCGAACACAACTGGTAGAGTGAGAGCTTATGGCGAACTGTCATCAGAATTGATTACCTCAAGTGGTGTTCGTCAGGGCTGTCCACTCTCCCCATTCTTGTTCAACTTTGTCGTCGACGTACTTTTAGAGATAACACTCTCCTCATCTAAATTTCCAGGGGTTGAACTTCTACCGGGAGGTTCACTTGTTGACTTAGAATATGCTGA